CAGACAAGCAGAGGGAGGCGAATCCTCAGCGCCTCCAGCAGGGCCCGGCCCTCACCAGGGCTCTGGTCACCCTGAGGTCGAGACGGTTTCACCAGGCCTCGCCTTGGCCTCGCAACCCGAGACTCCCACGCTCTCCCTCTGGTTTCTGTTCATCAAGGAGCCTTCAGTGGGCTCCGTGCGACCTTGATAATAGAGTGTCTAGATCAGAGGAGGTTCTTCCTCAGTCCTGTCCTGGTGTGGTTTTCACCTCATCCCGTGACCCAGAGACCTGGGGCATGCACCTGTCAGGTTCCAGTGCCCATGGGGCCCAGACTCTGCACCCTGTAAACCCCACTGAGATTCTTGGTGAAAGATGCTGCCTGAGACTACTTTTGTGGTCTCCTTAATTCCCTGTGCAGGGTTCAGCTGGGGCCAGGGGCCCCCTGATGGGTTGGGTGGCGTTGGAGGGGCCTGCTGTCTGGGTCTGGGTGACGGGGATGTCCTCAGGCCCGTCGGGAATAATCAGCACAAGCATTACCATGCTTCCGTCTAGGCTGCAGCATCGCCGCCGACTGGGTGAGTGACAGTTGATGAAACCAAAGGTTGAAATGCCACAGGGGGAATGGCTCTTGGTAACTGCTCGTGGTTGCCTAGAGAAAGCCGAGCTGGGAATCCAGGTGTAGATTCCCCGGTCACAGGCACACCACAGAGCCCGTCCCCAACGCACAGAAGTGCTTGTGCCTTGAGATGCAATCCCCGTGAGTCATAAGGTGCCCTGCTCCAATGTGGCTCTGGCTGGACCGCTGGAGGCACTCTGGAGCCATGGTGAAGCAGTTGGGGTTGTAGGTCAAGATTGAGAGCTTTTGTGGTTGCAAAGGGGCAAGATAGTCCCGCCGCTTCCTCGATTCTGGTTTGGCAGAAAGAAACATTTTCCACCCTGGAGACGCGACCTGGACCGCCCTGTGGTGGAGGGACTGAGGTCTCTCAAGAGACTCAGTTTTTATGCAGTTCGTTCACCCACCCAGACATTCAGGACCCATCCATACTGACTGCACCTGTGCTGTGTGTGGGTCCTTATTGCTGGGCATTGAGTCAGGTGGACCTGGAGTGAAAGTGGGGAGAGACAGGCCGTTGAAGAAGGGCTGATGGGAGGGCTGGGAGTTCAGAGGAGCTCCAAGAAGGCTCGGTGGAGGATGTGACATTGGACCAGGCATGGAAGGGGGACGGGATGTGAAAATGGGGACAAAGTCATTTTGGACTGAAAGACCAGCATAAATAAAACCCTAGAGTGGACCGTCCCACGTGCTTGGGACAGAATTGATTAAGGATGTGCAATTCCTGTGGAGAGAGGCTGAGCTACAAATGCTGGTCATGTGCTGAGAGGGGACGTAGTCTGTCTGACTGTGTCTCTGTGTCAGGAGCTGGCCCGTGGGTGCCTGGTGACCTTGGCAACCGCCACAGGCAGCAGCCCTCCAGGAGAATTGCTGTGCGCTCGCTCTCCAGCCGGTTTTGCCTCTGCCTCTCTGGGGCATCCGCTTAGGGCACTGAGGGCTAATGATTTTCAAACGCGTATCCACATAAGATAAATGAGCACTCAGAGTAGTGAGCCAAAGGGCTATTAAAATACATTAGCGTAGTATTTACCATACGCATGATGCCACTTCCTGAAACAGTTCCAGGGATCAATAGGAACAGTATTTATGTAGCATCTACTCTACTGTGTGATGGATATAACAGGGGAGGCAAAATATGTCAAGTGACCTAGTCTAGATGCTCCAGGCACTTTGAATACGTCGACTCATTTAAACCTCAAAGCCACCCTGTAGGCTGATGGTTCTATCTTCATTTTACATAGATTTGAACCCAGGGCAGTCTGCCTCCACTGTATAGGAACCCAACACCGGAACTCAAGTAACGGGTGAGCAGCACCAGGGGAGGTATGAACACCTTGCGCGGCAGTTCAGAGGAGGGCGAATCCTTCTGGTGGAAAGCGTTAGGGAAAGGTGGCATTGGAGATGTGTCCTACCCCGTGTGGACTTGAACATGGGACAGGGAGCCTGTGAACAGGGAAGCGTTAGGTTGAAGGAAACTACTGGGCACAGGTGTGAAGGCAGGAAAGCAGGGGGTATGCTCTGGAATGGTGAGAAGCGTCGAGAAATAGCTGGATAAACAAGGCTGGAAAAGCAGGTGGCACCAAGCTTGACTGCCAGGATTAGGCAATAATGGGGAGCTACCTATGGTTCGGTGGCAGAGGAGTGGCGTGATGGAAGTCATTCTGTGGGAAGGTGAAGGTGGCATCAGTGGGCAGGATGGAGACTGGATGAGGATGGAGGGCTGAAGAGCCCTTGGTTCTGAAACTCCAATCTGAGCTGTGTCACAGCATTTACTGTGTGGAATAACCAGGGGTGTGTGCCTGCTCGTTGGACACATCAGCATTTGGCAAGGAGCCAGGAGCATAGTTTGTAGAAAAGCTTATTGGAGGAAAGAGTTAACTTTTAATACAGCATTCAGTCGGTTGTCCAGCAGCGACACTGCAAAGACCCCCAAAGGAGCAGGCAGATGTCCATGGAATCATAATCGAACTCTGAATGCCAAGCAAGTTAATTTAACTGAGCACTTCGTGAATAGCTTTTGTTAGGGGCTAAGTGGGAACAAAAGCAAAACCAATACCAATCTTGTCATCAAAATTGGAAAGGCAAGCTATGAAACAATCAGGCAACACAGTCCCTTCTCCAGCATTGATGTAGCCCCTATGCCTGACCTTCCTTCCTCCTCCCCTCCTCCCCTCCCTCCCCTCCCTTCTACTTCCTTCCCTTCCATTCCTCTTTCCTTCCTTCCACCCTTCCATTCCTTTCTTCCTTTCAATGAATTAAAAATTATGGCTCTAGCTGGTTTGGCTCAGTGGATAGAGCAGCAGCCAACGGATTGAAGGGTCCTGGGTTCAATTCCTGTCAATGGTACATGCCTGGGTGGCACGCTCAATCCCCACTAGGGGGTGTACAGGAGGCAGCCAATCAATGATTCTTTATCTTTCCCTCTCCCTTCCTCTCTGAAGTCAATAAAAATATATTTTTAAAAAATTACATAAAACAGTGCCTGGTAAATGCCAAAGGCTTTGAGAGCCCTCTCTAATAGGTTTTCTTTTAGGACTTCCAGAATTCATTACTAGGGTGACATTCTCAGAATGTCCACAAGAAGGCAGTATTGTAACTAACCTCTTACTAGGGTACTGTCCTCAGAATGTCCACCAGAGGGCGCTATTGCGACTGACCACTTACTAGTCAGTTGTCCTAATAATGTCCACAAGAGGGCACTATTGTAGCTAATCCCTTCCTAAGGTGCCGTCCTCAGAATGTCCCTCTCTTACTAAGCTGCTCTTCTCAGAATATTCACAAGAGGGCACTATTGCTACACCTCCCTGCAGGGTGAGAGCCCTCACGTCTATCAACTGGGTTTTCAAAAGGACAGAAGGTTGGAATCGCATGCAGGGGCCACCCATATTGGTTTGTTCCAGCTGTTTCCCAGTGCTTAGCTCGTTGCCTGCACATGGGTGGTGCTCAAAAAAAGAATGAATGAGTGAATGAATTTGTAGATTAATCAAATTCTATAAAGATTGCCGAAACCGGTTTGGCTCAGTGGATAGAGTGTCGGCCTGCGGACTGAAAGGTCCCAGGTTCGATTCCGGTCAAAGGCATGTACCTGGGTTGCGGGCACATCCCTAGTAGGAGATGTGCAGGAGGCGGCTGATCGATGTTTCTCTCCCATCGATGTTTCTAACTCTCTATCTCTCTCTCCCTTCCTCTCTGTATCAATAAAATATATTTTAAAAAAATTCTATAAAGATAGAACCTGAGAATATTAGAATTAATAGAGGCCTAGTGCATGAAATTCATGCATAGGGGGGTGGGGGTGGTAGTGGTGAGGGGAACCTCAACCCAACTTGCACCCTCTCCAATCTGGGACCCCTTGGGGGATGTCTGATTGCCAGCTTAGGCCCGATCCCGGGGACTGGGCCTAAACCGGCAGTAGGGCATCCCTCTCACAATCCTGGACCACTGCCTCCTAATCGCTCACCTTCCTGCCTGCTTGGTCGCCCCTAACTGCCCCTCCCCCCCCCCCCCCCGCTGGCTTGATCACCTCTCACTGCCCTCTCCCTGCTGGCCTGGTCACTCCTAACTGTCCCCCCACCGGCCTGGTCACCCCTCACTGCCTCCTGTGCCAGCCTAATTGCCCCCAACTGCACCGCCCCTGCCAGCCCAGTTGCCCTTAACTGCCCCCCCTCCCAGCCTGGTTGTCCCCAACTGCCCCACCCTGCCAGCCTGGTCGCCCCTCACAGCGCCCCCTGCTGGCCTGGTTGCCCCACGCAGCCTGCTGTTCAGTCATTTGGTCGTCCCTCTGCTGGCCTAGTTGTA